ACTTCACCAAGTGGGCCGAAACGGAGCCTTTGGCCGCGATCACTACCAAAAAGCTCAAAGACTTCGTCTTCAAGAACATTGTGTGCCACTATGGTATTCCTTACACACTCATCTCTGATAATGGAAAACAGTTCGATAATAAGGAATTCAAGCAATTTTGTGATGTGCTGGGTATCCACAAAAAGTTTGCCTCAGTCGCAAGACTGCAAGCAAATGGTCAGGTTGAAGTTGTCAACAAGACCATCAAGCACACTGTAAAGGCAAAACTTGGCGCAGCCAAAGGAAATTGGGCTGACGACCTCCCTGAAGTCCTATAGGCATACAAGATAACTCCGAGAACCTCTACCTCAAAAACACCCTTCTCACTAGCATATGGCTGCGAGGCGATGATCCCTATGGAGGTATGAACTGGTTCACTTCGGAGAAACCTGCTCAACGAAGTAGACAATGAAGTGCTTTTACGTGCAAGTTTGGATTTAGTTGAAGAACATCACATCAAGGCTTAGCTAAGAATAGTAGGCTATCAGCAGCGCGTGAAAAGGTTCTTTGACTCTAAGGTTAGAAGAAGAGACTTCCAGGTCGGCGACCTCGTCTTGAAGGAAGTCCTTCTCGGTACAAGAGAACCGAGTGCGAGAGTTTTGGGGCCAAATTGGGAAGGCCCGTACCGCATCGCCAAAGTGATAAGATCGGGGACTTATCACCTCAAAAGGCTAAACAATTCCGAAGTACCACAAACTTGGAATGCTGAACATCTCTGCCCATATTATCAGTAATTCCGAACTAAGTTTTTCCTTGTAAAGATTTTACTTTTCTCAATCCTTGTAAATAACACAAGTCCTTTTGTAAACACTTTTTCCGCATGTATATGACTCTGTTCGCATAGACATTACTTGTATGAATGCTATTGTAAACAGTTAGAAAGCGACCTCATTTGTAACGATTGTGGGGTACAAAAAATTATAAGTACTCACAAAAAATTAAGACAGAAGTGTCTTTATTTATTGACAATATAATAAGTACATATAAGCAAGTATAGGAAAGGTGGTACAAAAGTAGGAACAATCACTGATCCTCATCCCCAGGTCGCGAAGGCGCAACCTCAGCATCTTCAGGATGGTCGCCAATTACCTGCTTGGGCGCGGGCTCCTTAAGGACATACTCTGGATGCTTCTCTTCCAGGTCATGTCCTCAAGCTGCCTCCTCATCCTCGGCCCGTGCTATAGAAGTAAGGATACTCTGGTACTCATCGGGGAGGTCGGTTAGATCAATCCTGGGATTCTTCGGCCGAAGGGTGTAGATAGACTAGATCATCCAATCAGCAACCCTCCTCTCAATCTCCAACTATTGCTACTGCATCTCTTCAATCAACGAAATGACACGGCCTTTGGTGAATTGGAGTTCGGCCTCGAGCACCCACCTCTGCTTTTCGGTGGTTTCCCATAGCTCCACCCTTTCCTTCTCCGCTCGCAAGGCCCGCTTGGAGTTCGTTCGTAGCTCTAGCTCTTTCTCGCCAGCCTCCTTGGTGAGTTTGGCCACTGTCCTTTGGAACTCCTTTATTTCTTCTTCTCGCTTCTCCAACTCGGCCTTTTAGAAGTCCACCGTGCGAAGAGTAGCATTCCTTTTAGACAGGTGCTGATTCGCTTGAACGGTGGATAAGTATTTCTCAGCTTGAGCGGTTTCTAAGTCCCGTTGAAGCTGAATGTTCTCTTCTCTCAGCTCGACCAGCCCATTAGCAGCCCCCAACTGAACCTTTTGTAAGGACAAATGCATGGCAAGTAGGGCCTGCGTAACGAAGAGAGTAAAGAGTTAGTTTTGTCTACTAAAAAATGGCAAGAAAATGTAAAGAAGTCCTCGCCGATGACAACTCATTTTACTTGGCTCATGTGCTGAAAGGATATGGACATCAAATCCATGGGGTTGGAGGCTACGAACTGCTCAAATGCCTCTGCTAGCTGGCACTCTAGTAGGGTAAAAACCACCAGCTGCAAATGGTTCGAAAGTTGCCCTATAGAGTTTAGCACGGGTGGGCTCGTGCCGACAGTAGGTAGCATTTCATTCATCAGTTCCTTGCCCGACCTCCTCCAGGGACCTACGGCCTCCCTTTGCCTCATCTGCGGACCCTCCGAGGCAATGGAGGCAATGGTAATGTTGGCTGCACCCCTAGAAGGCCCTATTGAGCAGAACGCTTGGTAAGGATGCAACCTATCGGGCTGGATGCCTAGGCCTTCCGACCTTGAACTCCGACTCCTCGGCCTGAAGTTTCTTTCTCTTCTTAGACTTTTGGGCCGTAGTATTTTGCCTTGAGCGAATAGCCGAAGGCTAGGGAGCACTTACAGGTCAGACCAGAGCATCCGTTGTTGTCCCTCTGATGGGGGGACCGCTAGGAGCCGCTCCAACTGATCTGGTGACGCCTACTCGGGGGAAGGTGAACTGCCTTGGTCACGGCAATGTGGGCACTTTAGGAGGCATGGTCCCTGCATGTGAACATTGTTAGGAAAACAGTTCGCTGCATGCAAATAACAAAATAGGCTAAGGTTATGGTGCTTACTTGGTATGGTCTCTAAGGTCGCTTCGGGATTGAAGAAACTGTATTTTTGTAAGTTCGCGATTACAGAAAATACAACGAATCTATCATTTCAATCAAGTCAAGAAAAAAAAACTAAATCTATGGGATGGAGATAAACAGATCCATTTAGCTACGATCAAATATAATCACGAGTAATCTTGTGTTGCAACTTTCTTCGGGCAAAAGGCCGAAAGCAGTGATTCTATCAAGATACTCGAGAGCCGATAACCTGGTCATCTTGTTTACTGCGAAGAAACAAAAAATTCATTAGCAAAGATTAAAAGGAGATTCGCCAACTCAGAGAAAGGAAAACCTACTCGGCTCCCTAAATTGGAAAATGTCATTGTATTGAAAGAAGAAAAACTTCGTCTCTTACGTCTCGACATTGCTGGGGTAACTATGTATTCCCGCCTCGATCGTAGATTGCTTCGAGAGGTAGAAAGAATCCTTGTCCTTACTATTCTTCAGGTAATATGAGCAACCAAGCTCTAATGTGGTTATCTCACCCAAAACGTTCTCGTCGCATGCGATATACATAACCACGACAATCATATACGCATTCAGTATAAGCTGTAGCAGTGCGACCCTGAAGTGATCGAGGACTGACCCAACAAAAGGGTGAAAAGGGATCAGCGCTCCACTCTTAAAAATGTTCTCGGAGATCGCAGCCATCCCTTTTGGTGGATTTCGAGTTGTGTATGTCCACGTGTCAAATCCCTGCACAAGTCTAGGAAATCACTTGAGCAGGTGAGCAATGAGACGCAGAGAAGGATTTGCACGGCGTTTGATCCACTCATAGATTTAGTAATCATTACATTAATTTATCCCACTATAAATAGAGGGCTCCTCTTCCGTTTGTGGGATTGGCTAATTTTTCTCTGAAATAGCATACACTCTCTCTCTCCCTATTGTATTTCTTAAGCTAAAATCAGCTCACTGAACGCGACCTGACTTCTTACATTAATACAATATCAGTGGACGTAGGATTCACTTGTTTGAGCATCCGAACCACTTTAAACATCGTTCTTCATCTCTTACTAAATCCAATCCCCCCATATTCACATTGACTTCTGAGTCTGCTCAGCATTTCCCACGTGCAATTAGTTGGTGTCAAAATCGAGCATCAACAATATGTATAAATGCAATTAGTTGATGTCAAAATCGAGCATCAACAATATGTATAAATGCAGCTATCCAGAAGTTCTCAAAGGATTAAACATCAACACAACTTAAAGAAAATGGTTGTTCATGTACTTTTACTTTTAGAGGTTTTTTTTTTTTTTTTTTGGTATGAATCTCTTGTTTTTTGTTATTAATTATAGATCTTATTTTGTTACCAACAAAAAGATATGTTTCTGAAATCTCTACATTAACAAACATAAATTATTATTAAATTTATGCAAATAGTAATCGAGGTCCTGAGGAAACTAAAGAATTGGTGATAATTCATGTATTACTTCCAAAATGTTCAAGATTTTCCCAAAAAAATAAAAAAATTGGTTTCCCCTAGTTCCCTTTACACAAAAATCCTTCATCCTATTTCTAATTTCTAATACCCTTTTAGCCAAATAACACATCAGCCCCCGGTTTCTTACAATTACTAACTAACCCCTTCCTACCTACTTTCCTGCTGTTACCAACTACCAAATAATAGCTGTGCTATACGAGCATTCTCCATCAGTATTTTTATATATAAATAGGAAACAGAGTTCAATACTTATATGCCACAGTCTCATTGTCACTTTGTTGATGTGATAAAATTGTCCAATGAAACAAAGACATGTATTGTTAATTTTCAAAAACCTCCGCTTATGGTAGTGGTTATAGATAAAACATTAAAGATACTTATTCATAAATAATAAAGATGGATAAAAAAAAAAAAAAAAAAAAAAATTTGATAAACATGTGATGATACATACAATATTTCTCAGTATGAAAGCATTATCCATCATTGTATTTATATATACATTGGAAACAGGGTTCAATACTAAAGCTTGAATTACTCGCCATGGCCAAAGGAAACACTAATCCACTTGCTCTTGCTATCCCCATCTTTACTGGGGAAAATTATGATGTTTGGAGTATTAAGATGAAGACATATTTTTTTTCCAAAGAGTTATGGGACATTGTTAATTATGAAAATTATTTAGAGATCACCGGCTCCGCTTTATCTGAAGAACATCAGAAGCAGTTGAAAGAAAGTAAGAAAAATGATGCAGCAGCACTTTTCATCCTTCAACAAGCGGTGGATGATAATATTTTCCGCAAAATTTCTCGTGCTCAGAAGGCGAAAGAGGCATGGGACGCTTTGAAAGAAGAGTTCCAAGGCATTCCTCAGGTACGCGCTGTCAAACTATAATATGGATCTCTTATTCATTACAGCTTCTAATCGCTTCTTCTTAATCGCAGACTACCGCCTTAGCCGAAGGGAGAGAGCGGGTAAGTAGCAGAAAACTAAAATAAATTTTCAGAAGTAAAGGAATAATATTCCAACCGAAAAAAAAAAGTCTGAAAAGTTTTCTTTTTCTTTTTATTGCAGAGGATTTCAAGAAACACCTGCCATTATATAAAGCTATACTCGAAGGTGATCTGAAATCGGTACGAAAACTCTGTGATGAGGATGAGAATGCGTTAGAAACGAGAATTACGGTAAACTTGGACACAGCTCTTCATGTAGCTGTTGGGACAGGCAAGGCAAATCATATTGTGGAGTATCTATTGTATCAGATGTCAATGCATCAACTGTCACTGAAAAATAAAGAGGGTAACACTGTTCTTTTCATTGCTGCAATTGTTGGCAATGTCCAAGCAGCCCGCATGATAATGAAGAAAGATGAAAATCAAACTTTAATTCAAGATTCAAACAAGTCTAAAAGGATACCTTTGATTGAGGCCACTCGACATGGCCAAAAGAAGATGATCAACTATTTATTGCAATTCAGCAACAATTATTTGGATTATCATTCTGCAACACGTTTTACATCGGGCGTTCTTTTCGTAAAGTTGCTTATAACTGCTGAATTTTATGGTGAGTTAATTCTTTCTTTTGCTAACTTTCAATACATGCCGATGAAAGTTTCATTTACTTTATTGAGACATATTTTCAGTAATTTTCTTCATGTCCGAAATTTGAAATTAGTAATCCTAGCTAATAAATTCATGTCGATCATTATGTCTCAGACTTGGCGTTAGACTTGATTAAAAAACATCCAAGTTTAGCGACAATGACATTTTATGGTGGTGAATCTCTGTTGAGTGAAATAACCAAAAAGCCATCAGCATTTCCAAGTGGAGGAACAAAAAAGCTACCGTTTTGGGGATACGTCGGCGTTTCTAAGTGTGAGTATATATATTTCTTTCTGACATCAATGTTATTTTTCTTTTGATTTTGTATTAATAAACAATATTGTTTGAGCAGTATTCTACAAATGAAGATATTTCAAATGAAAAGGGATTGAAATTTTTTTTTTTAAAATTCTAAAAGGAGGAACAAACTTATGACTTACAGTACTTTACCCGGTTATGTATACAATTACTGTCATTGTTGATAGTTGAATCTGTTTAATTTGCAGTTACAAGTTATACGAAAGAAATAGGAGAGACAAAGTTGATGAGTGATTACAAAGTACTTGAACTTGTCAAACACTTGTGCAAGGTAATTGCAGACGATAGAAACGACTATAGAACAACTTCTTTGATACTAAAGCGACCACTCCTTTTAGGGGCAGAAATGGGGGTCTGTGAAATTGTGGAAGAGATTATAAAGTCATATCCTGATGCAATCTGGTTTACGAATGAAAAGAATCAAAATCTGTTCCACTTAGCAGTCATGAATAATCAAGAGAAAGTATTTAACCTCTTATATCAAATGACTGATCACAAACATTTGTTGTTAATGTCTCAAGACGAGGAAAAGAACATCATCTTGCATTTAGATGGAAAGCTAGCTCCTGAAAATAAACTAAATGTCATTGCTGGTGCAGCTTTTCAAATGCAGCGTGAGTTACAGTGGTATAAGGTAAGACTTCTGATATAAACATTGAAATAATTGCTTTTTGCAGTACTGCATGACTACCGGGGGAGTGAAAACTATATATATATATATATATATATATACACACACGATGTTAAATTAGTTTAACTCGTTAATGAATCTAAGCTTCCTGACACATAATTAATTTATACATTACTAGTGAATGAGCCTTAGATTCAGTTTTTCATCCTCCTAACCAAGTAGACATGCTTTGGGTGATGTTCAAGTCACTTGTCACATCCTACTCATACATTATTAGGGAATGAGTCTAGAATTTAGTTTATAACACTTAAGTCCTCCTAACTTAGTAGACATTGTTTTGGGTTTCATATACATTTTCGTTATTTCTGTTCTTTCATATATAACTATGTTATTTTGTAATTACAAAGTTTATGTTATACAGGAAGTAGAGAACATTGTACCTGCCGAGTGCAAAAACGAAATAAATTGTGTAGGAGAAACTCCGGCAGTGCTATTCCATAAGTCCCATAAGAAACTTGTTACAGAAGGTGAGAAATGGATGAAGCAAGCAGCAACTTCAAGCATAGTAGCCGCAACAGTGACTGCCACACTAGTTTTTCAAGCAGCGTTCGGTGGAACTAGTGGCTACGATAAATTGAGTCTGTTCATGACATTTGGGTTTTCAGATGCACTCTCCTTGTTCTCATCGATTGCGGCCGCCATAATATTCATGTCCATCATCACTGCGCGCTACCAACAAGATGATTTTCTCAAGGCCCTTCCCAGAAAGTTCATATTGGGAGTTGTTATCATGTTCATCTCCATAACGTCAATTATGGTAGCGTTTGGCACCACTGTTTATCAGATTTTTTATGAGAAAAAGGCATATTTGATGCTTGGTTTAGTGGGTGTATCAGCCTGTTTGCCCATGCTCTTGTTTGTGGCTTCGCAATTTTCCCTCATATGGCACTTGTTCATTTACACCTATCGGCCTGGCCTTTTCAGCAAGCTAAGCAAACATGTCCCCGACCAAGTAATTAGATAAGTCAGAGAGAAAATGTTGAAGTTACTCTCGTTCCAGAGAAATTAGATAATAAAAGAGTAGCATCCACTTCTTATTGAATCTTTAATAGCCCGTTAAAACTTACAATATTATGAGTTTATAGATATTTATAGACTTGCTTTCTGATATTAATTTTAATACCTAAACCTTAAAGATATTAAGATTTTTGTTATTTCAAAAACTTTGCGAAGATTTTTATTATTTAATTAAACCTTAATTTTTTTTTTATTGTGATGTGAAAATATTTGTTATTTAATTAAACCTTAATCTTTTTATTGTGATGTGAAAATAATAAGTGTTGATGCGTGATTTTGACACCAACTAATCGACACGTACGCAACGTTGATTGGTCAAGAGACACACGTGAGTATGGATAAATTGTAGTAAATGTAGTAGTGAGAGCCTTTTAAAGTGGTTCGGATGCTAAGGTAGCAAGTCCTACATCCACTAATAGTTGTATTGATATTGTGGGTTAGGTCGCAATAGCGGACTGACTTACAAATGATTAGTGAAAAGTAAATGCAAGGATACAAGAGAGAGATAAATAATTCAGAGTGTAAAATGGCTGAATCCCCTCAATGAAAGGGTCTTCTCCTTTTTATAGTGAGATGAGTGCAAGTAATCATCATTAAATCCGTGGGTTGGTGTGAATGTTAGGACAAAATCCAGCTTTATGTCACATTGCCCACCTTCATACTGATTTCACTCGATTTGGAGCAGGGAATGGACACGTAGGATCTCCACAGCGTCTGGCAGGTCTGGCGCGCACTTACCGTTCTGATGGGAGCAGGTCACACTCCATCGCATGATTTCCCACATCAGCCTTTGGTTTCTCAGGCATAACAGAAGTCCCCTAGTTTTTAAGGTTTAAGGATTGAACCTTGGAAACTAAGCCATGCCGCGATTGGAGGTTTTCTGGGGGTTTTGACAATTCCGACCTAAATGAAAGAAGCTCGGGATAGGACCTTTCGTTAACACGACCTCGCACAAATCTCGTCCAAATGACCTGATAGCCATCGCTCAAGCGACCTGATGGCTCTCGCCTAAGCGACCTGACAGCCATCGCCCACGCGACCTGACTTCATCAGGTGTTCCTTGTTGTACCTTAGGGATGGAGATTTAATGAAGCAGTTTCTGCGTTGATAGGTGCTCTGCGCGCATTAAGCGTCTGCCAGGCGCATTAAATGCGTTGTGCGTTGACGCATTATTGCTTTGACAGAGCATTAATTGCATGACACACTCGAAACGACAGCTCTTATCACATCATTAAATGCGGCGTGGGGTACACTTAATGCGGAGAGAGAGAAAGGCGTCGTTTTGATTCCGAGGGGTGGTAAACGCTGGTTCATAGACCATATAAAAGCCCAAATTTTTCAAATGATGCCACAAGAATCTCTTTTGCCTCGAGCGAAAATTCTTTATAGACCGGAAGCTTTTCTTTTCCGATTGCATCTCTCCGATACCCAAAGCAAGAACCGTCCGCGGTCACATGCCTCAAAAGGTAAGGCCTCTTTTTTTTTTTTTTTTTTTTGGTGGTGCAATGGCGTTGGGTTTTCGGATGTTTCATCAGAGACGTGACGCTGGAGTTGGGTTTGGGCCGTGAATGGCGTCACTGTTAGGGTTTAGGGAATTTGTTCCACGCCACCGTACGGGGCAACGTACGATGGCTAAAATGACCTTCTGTCTGTCAGTGTTGCAGACTACGGAATGGAATCCTTCGTGTCCAGATCCGAGGAAGGAGCTGGCTCGTCTTCGCGGGATGTTCCCGTGGACGCATCCCTTGAGGTCTTCTCGGTTCTCACCCGAGAGGAGCTCGAGAGGGTAAAGAGACAGTCTGACGTTCACGCGGAGGTGTTCCTCGACAACCCACGGTCGTCGCGGCATCCTTCTGATGGCTTAGCTGTGATCTCCGAAGAGATTTTCAAGGGTGGGGGGATGATTCCTCTTCATCCCTTTATTAGGTCGGTCTTGGATCACTTCGGGATCGCACCAATGCAGTTAACGCCAAACATGTATGTCAATGCCAAACGCGTATGTCGTCGCCGTTGTGATGTACATCGAGTGCCGCGAGAGCGGCTTGGGTGAGCTAACAGCGATGGAGCTCGACTGTGCGTATTTCCTCAAAAAGAGTAAGGACAAGGACTCCTATTACTTGTCCCGATGACCTACCATTGCTGGAGGGATACATAGCTATCCCAGTAACGTGGGGGCCTACGAGACGAAGTTTTTCTTCTTCTGTTACGACAGCTACTATCGCTTTCAGGATCTAAGTAGGTTCTTCTTCACTAGATTCATTAACTGTGCGTTTCTTTTTTCCTAACGACCTGCATTCCTTTGCAGTTAACAAGTCGACCAGCCTGGACCTACTCACCGACCCGGACAGGATTGTGTCTTTTGGGGTTCTCCTCGAAGAAAGTCGGGATGCGAGGAAGCTCGTGACAACTGCGAACTTGCGAAAGTATGGTTTTTTCAGCAGTAACGCGACTTTAGAGTCCCTAGAGTGTAAGTTGGGCAGACTGATTCCTTTCTGGTCATAGAATAATTTTTTGTTTAGATACTAACATACTTGCACGCAGCAACCATGCCTCAGAAAGAGCCCAAGTAGCCCCAGCGAGCGCCATTTAACTTCCCTCGATCGAGGAGGGCCAGGGCGACCGAAGCTGCTTGCCCCATAGCTGCAGAACCGGTGCGAACTACCTAGCCTTCACAGACCCGTCCTGAAGAAGAAACGACCAGGACAGAACAGAACAGGTCGCTTAGCCATCACTTACCTACTTGAGGCGAAAGACAATGGCTCAGCGGTCGAAGAAGAGGAAGCAAATTCAGGCCAATGAGTCAGAAACTGAATCTGAGGGTGACCAACCCTTGAGGTTGCGACAGGACATTGGCAGGAGGTCGGGCAAGGAACCCGCGGACGAGACGGTTGTTGCTGACAAGGCGAAGGGCACACCGGTGCTGGACACACTGGGGAACCTGACCGAATACTTGCAGCCGATAGTCTACTATCTACTCGAGTGTGGACTGTCGGAGTCATATGATGACCTCGCCGATACAGGCAATGTTGGCCTGATGACCACGTCGGTCCAACATCTAAGCAAGGTGAACAAACTGTTCTTGAAGAGTTTGTTCGCCATTTTCATTCTAACTCATTTCTTGTTCGCAGGCTCTGCTTGCTATTAGAATGTCCTTGGAGAAGGCTCGGCTGGGAGCCGCAAAAGGGGAAAACGATTTGAAAGAGGAGATCGCGAAGCTCAAATAGAGCCTGGAGGGTGTCAAAGCGGAAAGAGCGTTATCCGTAGAGGCAACAAACAGATACTTGAACCAAAAGA